GAGTAGATAGATCAGACCTCTTCTCAGGAGATTTGATTATACAAACCTGCAAAGCCCATGTAAGCTCTGGCATATGTTTTTATTTATTATCATGATATATCCGCAATAAAAACATTAAAAATGATAAAGAAATGAATTTGTTTCTAGACTCACATATACAAAATGCAGTTGAAATTTTTGTTGTGAACTTCTCCAGTGAGGCATCAATAAAGTTTATCTTATCTAATCTGAATATGAGAAACAACTGAAAACAAAAGAAAAGGAAAATAAAATTCAGAGCCCCTACACCCCCATGCTCCATGCACATAGGTGATTTCACTAATGCTGATCAGCCTGTTCTTCACATACCTGCAAGGGTTGTTACCACATCTTTCTCCCACATTTATACTGTGGGACATGCTTAGGTTACTTGCAGATTGTAAATTGCCCTTTGATGGCCTGGCAATCTGTTCACTTTGTACCCAACTATTGTCCTATGTCAGCTGGGACTGACCTCCCTGTAAGCCTCCATAGGATAAAGCAGTGTATAGATAATGGATGGATGGACAGTTTGGATGGACACGTCATACTAGGAGAAGCACAGTTTCCGGCTCCTGCTACCTACATAATAACTCACTGTCCCACTGTGGTATTAGTACCATCTGTGCTTTGCCCACTACAATAGGTCAACACATCTGCCTTAAAAAACCTGCATAGAGCTTATATTTTGTCTAAGATGAACAAACCATCCTTAACATCACCCATAGGCTCCTGAGCAGCAGTTTTTAAGCTCCCTTTAGTAGCCCCGACTGTCACCATCTTGAAGGTGTCTGACTCCTCCTCGCTCCCAGCTAATCCAAAAATGAGCAAAAAGAGGTGGAGCGTGAATAGAGCTGAGACGGGTCATGCAAATGTCTCTGGGCCATGAACTGTCTCATGACTGCACCCACATGTCACTCAAAGCGACCGCACCCTTAATTATGCATAACTTTAAGCCCTAATGCAATTTAAATGAATGAGGCCTTTAAAGTCCCCCTCTGGTCATTGATTAAACCCCTAAAAGCTCATCTCTCGCTTATCAGAGTTACATATTTTCACATTTTTCCAATAAAAATGAACCCTTTCTGCCTTAAAATGGCTTAGATGTAAAGCTACTATGCTACTTCATTTAGAATATGCACATCTATGAAGTCCCTGCTTCTCTCTTCACTAGCTCAGCTACCACCCCTGAATGCTTTAAAACAATTTGTACATGTTTAAACTGGAAACTGATTCTGAAAAAGAACAAGGATACAGAAAGTCCCACCTCCTTAGGTTTGTTATATATAAAACCTCAGAAGTCTGAATCCATGTTTTAGAGACTGTCATCAGTACACTGCAGCTTCAAGGTGGAAACGCTCAGCAGTGTTGTTGACTGTTTATCTCACTCATTATATGTCTTCAAGCATAGAAAAACACCATATGGACATGCCAGCAAGGTCAAAAATCAGATTTTTTTAAAAACTGGAGGCGTCCTTAATTCAATAAAAATGCTCTAATTTGCAGGTCAGATAGGCATTTTAAGTTATTTTTATGAAACGTTAACAATTTATCATTTAAATAACGTTAATAAAACACCTGAGCAGACCTCTTCTCAACACAGTGTAGACAGTTAAACACTGATTTTTTTGGTTCTTGTAATGGCAGGACAGCTTAATCCATGGTAGACATGTTAACGTGTCACAGGAGGAAAAACAGAAGGTGTAAATGATGCACTTAATGACCGGCTGAATTCCATTTAGTTTGAGAGTCCTGGTACATGTATGCTGGCTCACTGCTACACTGTCATGGCTTACATCATTAATGTTATTAATAGCAACTGTGTTTTTCCTACTATCACTCCAGCCTGCATAGACGACAGTCACATCTCATAACTCCCAGCAGAGCTCTACCCAACTCCAGAGCTAATTAGTCAGGGCGATGGAAAACACACATGTGAGCAAGCATTGACAACAATTAGCACAGTAGATCAAATACATTCAGTGTAATTATCTCACGTCATATTCACACTTAAAGTAAAACGAGCAACACTAGTGTCTATGTCAAATAAAAAAGAAACAGAAGAGAAAGACGTAGGCCTGCCAGTGCCAGAAGATGACTGGAATGAGTCTAGCTCTGGTGGAGGAAAATAGGATATGTTCCTATTGAAACTATTATGTAGGTAGGTGGTGTGGCTAAAAAAAAGAAGAAAAAAAAAAAGCCCGACACTTTTCATATGAGCAAGAGATTGCTCAAGAGTTGCAAAAGAAATAATGAAGTGCATCAATAGATGTTGATTCCTCTTCTGTCAGATTATACTTAAGGAAAAATATTGTGTCAAACTCATAGCTTAGGATGAATACATAAAATACTGATATTAATGCTTTTAGGGCTGCAAGGTGGAGCGGTGGTTAGCACTGTTGCCTCGCAGCAAGAAGGTCGCTGGTTTGCGTCCCAGTGAGGACACCCGGGATCTTTCTGCGTGGAGTTTACATGTTCAGTGCAGTGTGGGTTCTCTCCAGGTTCTCCGGCTTCCTCCCACACAGTCCAAGAATATGTTGAGGTTAATTGGTGATTCTAAATTGTCTGTAGGTGTGAATGTGAGTGTGCTTGGTTGTCTGTCTCTAAGTGTAGCCCTGTGATAGACTGGTGACCTGTCCAGGGTGTCCCCTGCCTTCACCCTGAGTCAGCTGGGATAGACTCCAGCCCCCTGCGACCATTGTGAGGATTAAGCGGTGTATAGATAATGGATGGATGGATGGATGCTTTTAGCTGTTAGCAAGAAAAACAAAACCTCTGAACAAAGGAAGACTGGACTGTAATTGTCAATGAAATGTGAAATTGACCTTTTCCTCAAGACTGTGATATGATCAATAATTAAAATGCTGATTTAAACTGAACTACATACACCGTGTGCGTGTATGAGATGTAACACATTATGGTAGTGCTGAAAATAAACATTGTTTTAGTTCATTTGCTCATCGTCTTTGTCGCCTCTGATTTGATACCAAAGTATAACCTGCACAGACACTTCTTGAATTTCACTGAACATTTGTGTAGATCTAAAAGTCCAGGTCATAACAGGAAAATTATTTGCTGTTGTTTTGACAATTTGCACAAACTTTCACATAGAAGCAGATGAAAAAAAAAAAAACGTTACCTGAGGTATCTGTGTGACAGACAGGTTGAGCTTAACTACAATAAACTTCATACCAGTGGTGGCTAACCTTTTAAACACACAAAAAAAAGATCCCCATCGACACCATGCTCTTGATTAAACCATGTTTTATTATTCCTAATATTAGATGTAGATACACAAGTCAACAAACATTATTTTCGATTTGTAATGAAAATGCTCCACAGCACACTGACATCGTGTGGAAGGGTCTGGTATTACAGACACGTACCTGAAAATGAACAGCAGTTATAGTTTTTGCAATAAGTTGCATTAGTAACAGTAGTAGTAATAGTAACAACAGTAGCAATAATGATAATAATAGCAATTAATAATAGTAGTGGTATTAACAACTCTGAATTACAGAGGAAGGAACAGACATTCGTCAAAAGTAATGAGAAATGAAGAGGGAGGTGGACAGGCTTATCAAATGCTGCAAGACAGACCACTGGATGAAAAAATACAAGCTCCCACTAGACAGCAAATATCCTGCCTTCTTCTAAAAAAGGAAGCTCAAATTGTCACCAGTCTGTTCACTCATATCTAATACTTAACAAGTAAAAGTTGTTGTTTTTTTTTCTTCATTAAGTACTCCATTGTCACAAGTACTCTTAGAACCAAAAACTTATATCTTTGACATCAATAATACATACTTTCCATGGTCTGGTCAAAGCTCACCAGTAGCACAATGTTATTTTTAAAAGGATGCCATATGCAACATCGAATCACAGCCAGCTGAGGACATTCCCACAAGACTGGATTGCCAGGGTCATTCTGCATTAAATATACAGTACAGTATTAATGTGAGAGTGTGTGTGAAAGAGAGAGAGAGAGAGAGAGAAAAAGAGAGAGAGAGAGCTTGTGTACAGTATGTCAAGTATGAGAAATATTTTTGCTTCACATGACCAATTTGGCCAAACTAATTTGAATCATTCACATTCAAATGAGCTGATAAGAAAATACACTGTGTGACCTTTGAACTTGAACTGCCCAACATCAGCCGGACGCTGCGTTAAGACGTCCAGAGCAGAGAGAAAGAAGCGGTAGTCGCTAAAACAGCTCATCCACTGGAGGGGGAGGGAAGGGAGGGCGAATGACTCCTCCATTCAAAACTGTGCACAATGTTCGCAAACTGCGTCGGCTCACTTATGTATGCAATGA